CAACCATTATTATTATTATTACAACCATCGTTATTATTACAACCATTATTATTATTATAACTATTATTATTATTATTATTATTACAACCATTATTATTATTATTATTATTATTATTATTATTATTATTACAACCATCGTTATTATTACAACCATTATTATTGTTATTATAACCATTATTATTATTATTATTATTATTATTATTATTACAACCATCGTTATTATTACAACCATTATTATTATTATAACTATTATTATTATTATTATTATTATTATTATTATTACAACCATTATTATTATTATTATTATTATTATTATTATTACAACCATCGTTATTATTACAACCATTATTATTGTTATTATAACCATTATTATTATTATTACAACCATTATTATTATTATTATTATTATTATTACAACCATTATTATTATTATTACAACCATTATTATTATTATTATTACAACCATTGTTATTATTACAACCATTATTATTGTTATTATAACCATTATTATTATTATTACAACCATTATTATTATTACAACCATCGTTATTATTACAACCATTATTATTGTTATTATAAGCATTATTATTATTATTACAACCATTATTATTATTATTATTACAACCATTATTATTATTATTATAACTACATTATTATTACTACCGTTATTATAATTACTTTCATTATTATTATAACTACTTATTAGTTCCATCATCATTGTCATAACTACCATTGTTACTGTCACTACTACCATCATTATTTTCATCATTACCACCATTATTACTACCACTTCCACCATTATTGTCATCAGTACCACCATCATCATTTTCATCACTACTAGCATCATCATTATCATCATCACCCATCATCATTATCATCTCTACCATCATCACTACCACCATCATTATCATCTCTACCATCATCATCATCATCTCTACCATTATCGTCACTACCACCATCATTATCATCTCTACCATTATCATCACTACCACCATCATTATCATATCTACCATCATCATTACTACCACCATCATCATTATCATCACTACTACCAACATCATTATCATCACTACCACCATCAACATTATCATCGCTACCATCATTATTATCATCACTACCACCATTGTTATCACTACCATCATTATCGTCACTACCACCATCATTATCATCACTACTACGATCATTACCATCACTACCATCGTTATCATCACTACTACCACTATCATTATCATCACTACTACCACCATCACTATTATCACTACTACCACCATCATTATTATCACTACCAACATCATTATCATCACTACCACCATCAACATTATCATCGCTACCATCATTATTATCATCACTACCACCATTGTTATCACTACCATCTTTATCACTACCACCATCATTATCATCACTAATACCATCATTACCATCACTACCATCGTTATCATCACTACTACCACCATCATTATCATCACTACTACCACCATCACTTTTATCACTACTACCACCATCATTATTATCACTACCACCATCATTATCATCACTACCACCATCATCATTATCCTCACTACCACAATCATCATTAACATCACTACCATCAACCTCATTATCATCACTACCACTATTATTATCACTTCCATCACTATCATTATTACCATCATTATCATCATTGTCACCATTATCACCACTGCTACCATCATCATCACCATCCTC